TTATTAATTTCGGCATTTTGCGTTGGCAACTTTAAATGTCGGTTCACTTTTCAAATTGCTGCCACCAAATATTATCGCCTTGTGTTATATTTAAAGCAATTAAATAATGAAGAATTTGCATTAAATGTATGTATTAGGTTGTCCGGAAAATAATGCAGGTTTTTAACCTATATCTTCAAAGTATCATAACTTAAAAACAATTTTATTTATTAAAATAAGTACCAGCCGAATCAATGTATATTTGCCAACGAGATATAAGTTTACTTATGCCGGTAGAATAAAATTCTGGAGTTCTGGACGCGATAAAGTTGTCAAAGGCGTTTTTGTCCTCCTGCAGAATGTTATCCAGATGTTTGAAAAAGTGGTAAATTAAAATATAGAGGTCAGGCGAATATGGGGGAAGAGGAAGAGTCTCGTATCCCAAATCGCTCAATTTCTGTAGGGTCAGAAATTAAATAATGAAAAATCACGTGCACAACGTGCGGCCGAGCATCGTCATGGAGAAGAACTGATTGCTTTCTGTTGACCAATGCCGAGCACATGCGTTGCAATTTTTGGTGCATTTCGTTGATTTGCTGACAGTACTTAACTGCCTTAATCGTTTCGCCCAGATTTAGGAAGCTGTGGTGGATGAGACCGGCCGCAGACCACCAAACAGTCACCATAATTTTCTTTGGTTGCAAATTTGGCTTTGGAAAGTGTTGTGTTGTCTGACCGCGGTCCAACCACTGAACCGAATGTCACCAGTTGTTAGAGAACATCCACTTTTCATCGCACATGACAATTCGATCAAGAAAGGGATCGTTTTTGTTGCGAAGAAAAAGAGCAGACGACACTTCAAAACGCCGATTTTTTTTTTTTTTCCCGCTCCCCACCAATTTCATGAGGCACCCACTTATCGAGCGTCTTTGACTTTTCTATACGATTCAAGCGATCTGAAATCGTTGTGCCAAGTTCCTCCGCAAGCTCTCGAACAGTTGTGCACGGGTTTGTTTTAACTAAAGTCTTCAAATCATCGTCGTCAGTAGCTGAAGAGTGTCCACGAAGCTCTTGATCTTCCAGGTCAAATTCTCACGACGAAACTTTTGGTACCACCGCTGAACTGTAGATTCATTTACACTTTTCTCGCCCTATACTTCATTGACATTTCGAGCCGTTTGTGCTGCGCTGTAGGCCTAGCTTGTACTCATAAAAGTAAATTTGCAAAAAATACCGATTTGACATCTAAACAGAAACACCTAGTAAATGTTTTTTTTAAATAATTTTGGAACAAAATGATTATTATAGAAACGTAGAGCGAAGATAGAGCTTCAAAATGATATATAAACCAATGGGTACTTTTCCGTTTTGCCGGCGCAAGCGATAAAGTCGCCAATAATGGTACAACCGATGCCAAACGGAATATTCTCGCTGGTAACCTTTTACGCTTCATTTTCAAAACAAGTCGCAGCTTTTTCTTATCAGATTGATTGTTTCTTTCAATAGTGGCATATAATTACATAGAATTTTTATCAGATAGTTCACTTTTATGTCTAAGGCCATTTTCGGTAATTAAGTCAATCAGGATGCAATCACAGCGCTTACCCGAAGCCGAAAATATAGAAAATGTAAGTCAAGGGTTAAATTCATCAATTCTAAGAGAATGCATTAGCGAAGAAGTAAAGCACTGCAGCTTTACATAATTTCTGAGTAAGCTATTCGTACGCATTGAAATATTTCTTGCATTTAAACTTGTGTTCCAAATTAAGATTTAACTTGAAATTAATGTAGATAATTACTGCGAGCATTAGATTTTTGTTTAGAGTAGTTTAACGTGAGATGAGATCGCTTGGGGTCACGTGATATGAGCGGCGAATCAAGATGTTGAACCATGAAAGCATAGTAAATTCTTAAATTAATGTCTTTTTACAAATTTACTGTCTTTATTTATTGGCTTTTTATAAAATTTTAAGCGATATTAAAATGTTTATGCCTTCAAAAAAAAAAAAAAAAAAAAAAAAAAAAAAGAATTCTTAGAACTAACATTTTTTAAAATATTTTTTATGTGTATACTGTATGTTGTCGCCAATAAAGTCTGCTTGGCGAGATTTGCGCCGGCCAAACGGAAAAGTACCAAACCAATGTAATTCAAAATATTTTTGTTGCACAAAATGTACAGGAAAGATAAACAATTGGAAAAACCTGCATTATTTTCCGAACACCCCGATATGTTTCTCACATTGTGATAAAGGAACGCTATCTGGAGCCATCAAATTTTGAATAACGTAATCTTCCACCGAATATGAGCATCTGGAAGCCCTGATTTGGAATTTGAAATTTGTTTTATTATCGATTTCATGTTTTGTTACACTTAAAGTGATGGTAAGAATTTTATAGGTTGTAATTAAAAAAAATTTTTCGGAAAATTTATAAAAATTGCGAAAAAATACAAATTTGAAAAATAAAGCAGAAATTGTCTGCGAATTTAATTTGGGTTGAAATTAAATTTTGAATCTGCGAAAGAAGAAATCAAGTAAGTTTAATAAAGAAAAGAGATATTAATAAGTAGTATATACCAGTTTCGATTAACACTGAAAACCGAAAGTTTTGAGAGCAAATTTTTTAGAAACTACACGTGTGGCATAATTTGAGTCTTAGAATAAAAAACGGGAAAAAAATCAGTATCTCATAAAAAAAAACACTCCAATTATGTGTCAAAATGCCTATGTTAGAACAATGCTATATATAAATCAGATATGCGTAATAAGTCGCGCATTGGAGATATGAAAAACGCAACTTGAATTTCTTCAATCGGTCTGGTAGAGCGGGATATCGATATTTTAATAAAATTTCTCCGAATTTATTTTACAATTATTATAATTTTGACTTTGGATCTGTAAGAGTATCGGAGATGTTTCTTTATTTAGTAACCACATTTCTTTGAACCGTTTCACGTTAAGAAGTTTCGCTTTTCCAACTGTTGAAATTTTCTTTTCCGTTTTTGAAATAAAGTCGTCTGTGTCTGATCGCTCTCAAAATTGATTTCAAAATCTGTTCTAACCCAAGGTTGCTTTCCTGTCTAAATTATAAATCTATACCTTGTATACCGTTAAATAAAGGCACAAATGTGGTTACTTGTTCATAAATCTCCTCGTTATGTGGCTTGGAAATGGCATTTTGTTCGATAGAAAAGGACAAATTTTACTAAAACATTGTCGCATATATTTTCTAAATTTATGCTTTGTCATGTAAACGTGTTCTCGGTTAAACCTGCTGCCGGCTAAATGTCCTAGTTTACACTCTGCACCGTGTATAGTATTAAATAAAAGCACAGATGGGGTACTTGTGCACAAACCTCCTCGTCATGTGCACTTGGAAACGGCATTTTGTCGGATAAATAAGGACAAATTTTAATAAAACATAGTCGTATATTTTTCTAAATTTATCATGTAACGTGTCATATAAGCGGATGTGCTATTATCATTTAAATGTGCCATTTTTGTCATTTAAACGTTCTTTTGGCTTAACGTGTTGTCGCTAAAACGTGCCGCTGGCTAAATATCCTAATTTAAACTCTATGTGGCATGAAGTATAGGCCACGGGTGTGGTACTTATCTATAAACCTCCTCGTTGTGTATTACGAAGCGATTAACGATATATTAAGGCGTAGTTCGAAAGGCGAGTATAACACTTGACGATTCTTGTTCGAACGCTATTTTTGTTCCGACGACTTTGCATCAGTCTAAATTTGATCTTGATTTGGTATACAAAAATACATGACGATATCTTTCGTTTATATTTAATGAAAACACCAAAAAATATCACAGTAATATAGACACATCGCAACGGCGAACCAACAGTTACATAATGTAAACACACAGAAGAATTCTTTCGGCGCAACAGCGCCCTCTATACTATGAAAAGTTCCAACATTGTGTGCTTTGGAAACGGCGTTTTGTCGGATAAATGTGGACACATTTTGTAATGTAAAATGTGGACACATTTGTAATTTTATAAATGTATGTTTTGTCATCTAATCATGCTATTGGCCAAACGTGTTGACTGTTAAACTTTCTGTAGGCTAAATATCCTAGTTTAAACTCTGCATTCTGTATAGCATTAAATGAAGGCACAGATGTGGTACTTGTCCATAAACGTCCTCGTCGTGTGTCTTGGAAACGGCGTTTTGTCGGATAAATATTGACAAATTTTATTAAAACTTTGTCGCGTATTTCTTCTAGTTGTACACTTTGTCATCTAAACATGGTGTCGGCTAAATGACCTAGTTTAAACTTTATACTCTGTATAGCATTAAATAAAAGCACAGGTGTGGTGCTTGTTTATAAATTTCCTCGTTTTGCGCTATGGAAACGGTGTTTTGTCGGATAAATATGGGCAAATTTTATTAAAACATTGCCGCATATTTTTGTAAATGTACGCTTTGTCTTCTAAACCTGCCGTCGGCTAAATATCCTGGTTGACTAAATGTCCTGTCGGCTAATTGTCGTAGTTAATAAAGTCGGATAAGTTGGTTAATGGTTGTCAGGTATGTGATTGTCGGCTAAATGTTCGGGGGGCGACGGAGCTGGACCTCTTATCCAAAGAGAAACCTGATAGTAAATTGAAATATTGATTTTTTAATTTTCTGTTTATATTACCTATTGCAATTAATAAAGTAGTTTGTGTTCACCGTATATATCTTATGTTGCATAAAATGAGAGCGAAATTTTCAGCCCAGAGTTTATCCCTAAGCCGATCAGCACAAAAGTGGTAATGTAAATTTCCCTAATCATGCAACCCTTTTCCCTACCACGTGCAACAAGCTCTCAAGAGGCAACCACAGAAACCAAAGGAAAAAAAAAAAGTAGTTTTGAAACTTTCGAAGCATGATCGCGCTAGAAAAGCATTCTGTGTAAATATAGAAACTTGGCTTTTACTGAAAGCTTTGCCAAGTTCCCCCGCTTTAAACTCCGCTGGGGAGGAGGGGGACCCTTGGAAGAAGTCTCGTAAGATGTTGTGCGATTTCTCTTAGCCGATGCCACCTGGATTTCTCGATCGGGATTTTCTTGGGTCCCGAATTCTTCCCCCTTGTTTTCAGAGTTTAATAGATTGTCTTCTCTTTGAATGTTTCTTGATGTCAAGGAACTGAAGCTATGTCCGTCTACAAGAAATGCAGTGGGAATTGTGGCAAGGGCAGATCTCCTGGTTTTGCGCCTGTCACCAAGTTTGTACGTTCCATACCTGTGCTGCGTGGGTTATTTCTAGGGTGAGTGTGATTTTTTTGTGATATAAGCTATTTGCTTAGAGGGGATTGTTGTAAAGGACTCTTTTGCCTTCCCATAATACTTCTGTATAAGTAATCCGGATTTTCGCTTATATTCTTGTTTAAGCTGTTTGTGCTAAAAGCGAAGTTTTAATGATTAATAGTATGTTGTAAAAATGTTATTCCGTGCGTATTTTTAGGGGGGGGAGGGAAAGAAAGGCTAAATGTCTGTAACTTGCAGCAAAATAAAAACGGATTGTGTTTCTTGTTATACAGGTCTGTGATTTTACAGATTTAATGGATTGTATTTTTTTTGTTTTACCTATTCTGTGCTTTAGAATTTTACAGATTTTTTAACGGATTGTGTTTTATGTTTTGACGATTCCGTGCTTTAGAATTTAATGGATTTTCTTTACGGAATTTTGTAGAATTTCACGGATTGTGGTTTTTGTTTACAAATTCTGTTGTTTAGAATTATACAGATTGTTTGACGCATAGTATTTTTTGTTCTAAAAATTCAACGCTTTAAAATTTTATGGACTTTTTATTAAATTTTATAGAATTTGTAACATTTTGTTTTTGTTATAGCAATTTAGAATTTGACGTATGTTTCAGCGAATTATTTTTTTACACACCAGTTTTCTCTGCTGTGGAATTTTACGTAATTTTATCGTATTGGGTTTTTGATATACCGCTTTTCTGTGTTTTAGAATTTTACGCATTTTTTGGCAGTTTGTTTTTTGCTATACTGTTTTTCTGTGCTTTAAAATTTTACATATTTAGCGGATTATTATTATTATTATTTATTTTTTATATATCTGCCACATTTCTGTACTTTAGAATTTTACAGAATTTCACCCATTTTTTTAGCAGTTTATGTTTTCTGCTATACCGTTTTCCTGTGCTTTAGAATTTTGCATTATTTTAGCAGATTATTATTATTATTATTGATATGCCATTTTTCTGTGCTTTAGAATTTTACGCATATTTTAGCGGTTTATGTTTTCTGTTATACCGATTTTCTGTGCTTTAGAATTTTACAGAGCTTTACGTTTTTTTAACGGATAATATTTCTTATGATACCAGCGTCATGCTTCAAAATTTTGCGTACCGTAGTTTATTACTTGTGCTATATCCTATTTGGCAACTACTTCGAGTATTGTAGACTCTAGAATCTAGAGGATAAATACTCAAGACTTTTATTGGAAATCTAATCTTAAATTGGCATTAATCTGTGTAATGAAAGAGTATGTCTCTGTGTGTGTGCGTCTTTCGTTCGTGCTGCGGGTAGGCTAAAAGACCCAGCGCTACAAAATTTGATACATAGGTGCATCTAGACAAAAGCCAGTGCACCTCGAAGCGATGTTTTCAAAATTCGAATCAGATTTTTTTTTTTTTTAAATTTTTTTTTAATTTTATCTTTTTTGATGAAATCGCATCATTTTGAATAGTTTCATTCTTTTAGAAATGTGGTTTTGGCAAAAGTTTTTCATTCAGTGCTTTATATACTAAACTGCTGACTATTGAAAATGTGATATAAAATATTATTAATTATAACACGCATATCGCAATCTTATTCTGCGCATGTGTCTCGCGAAGCACAACAGAGAGAATTTCCTTCCCCCCTCGCTTTATTAGCTAATGGCAAAGAGGTTTGTATATTTTGAATTATGTCATCCACAGAGCACAATTTTAGTTGGTTATTGCTTTTTGATGGTAGTTTAATTCTTTTAGAAATGTGGTTTTGGCAATAGTTTTTCATTCATTGCTTTGGATATATGCTGACTGTTTTCTTCGAAAATATGAGATTTATTGCTTATTTCATTGTAATATTTTTATATTATGTTTTAATTATATATAATTTTTATATAAAAAGTTTTGCATGATTTTTTTTAGGGAACAAAGTTCTTAACTTCCTTTATACCTTTTGAATTCTTAAGATTTTGCCGCGGGAAGTTGGTTAATTATTTATTAGGATAATATTTGTGTTAAGGGATATTGCTTATTTCATTGTAATTTTTTTCTTGTATATAATACTTTTTTTTATTATTATTTCTGTTTTTTTTTTTTTTTTTTTTTTTTTTTTTGATGAAGTTGTTCTGCAGAGTAAAATTCTGTTCAGTTTTTAAATTTAATGTTTGGTGTTTCCTTTAGGCATTTTTCTGATACATTTAAAAGCCAGACGAAGGCTGGCCGCGTATCGGCTACTTTAAAACTCGCTGTGCCTTTCGATAGACAATCTGAAGTGGATCGTTCATAATTAAAGTGTAGGAGAATACTATAAATAAATTATATGTCAGTTCTTTTTTGTTTTCAAAGCGTTATTTCTTTTTGATGCTTCTCCTTTCATATTTTTTTAAAGCTTACATGCGTGGGAATCAAGTGTAAATCTGCAATGTGTAATAAATTAATCAAGTATAGATTTTGCAATTATATTAGACTGAGTAAAACGAAGGTAAGCAAAAGAATTATGCCTCCCCCTCTGATATTTACCTTCTCATTTTGTCTTATTTACTTCCAGGATAAATGTCGAAGAATTCGGAGAAAGGAAGAATTTTTTGTTAGCTTTGAAATTGATGGTTGGAAAGAATTGTTTTCGTCAAAACACATCGCCGCTTGAGCCAAAAATTAGAAATCCCGATTAGAGAAAAGCACTTAAAAAGTGCTTTTAGTTAAAAACTGTTGTTAAGTATAATTAGCGTCGGTCGATCATCGCTACGTCATTTCGAAATGATCTATATTTAATTATGTATAATTAGGCCTTCCCCCCCCCCAAATAAAATTTTTCTGAAGGTGCTTCTGTAATTTCTGAAGCATAATTTGTATTGAAGAAGTGAAGAAAAATTTGCTGATGTATATTTATAAATAAATTAGCTAAAATAATAAAAAAAAAAAGTTGGGGGAGATGTTTTTAAAAAACATAGATAATTACTATTGCGTTGTGACATGTATAGTTAAGCGAAGAAGAATTAGCTGCTGAATATTTTGGTGAGGATTATAAATAAATAAATTAAAAAAGAATGTGTGTGGATATGTCTAAGGAAAACATTGATAACCATTATTGGATTGTGACATGTACAGTTTATTAATCACATTAGTGCGGTGTATTAGTAATTTTTTTGTTGAAGAACTCTTTCAAGAATGTCTCCGAAATTATTCATGTGCTGTAGGTGAATTGGATTGCATTAGATTATTTGGATTATAGTATAAGGGGAGGGATGCATTTGTGAAGGATTTTCTAAGAAAAACTATTTCGTAGAGAGGCTGTTTATACATTTTTTAGACGATTTTGTTGTACTATAATATAAAATCGTCGGCTCGGAAAATTTTTTTTAAACTGTAGCTATATTTTTGAAAGTGTAAATTATCGTCTGCTACTTGACAGTTTTATTTTTATGTAAAATGGCGCTTTTAAAGAAGCAGTGTATGAAAGGCTGGCTATGTTTGCACTCTTTTTGAAGTAAATTATTCGTAACTAGTTATTAAAAAATGCTCTGAAAGCCATGATTTTTCGGTATCTAAAGCAACGATCGATAATTTTGTCAATAAAAAAAAAAAAAAAAAAAAAAAAAAAAAAAAAAAAAAAAAAAAACCAGAAAGGTTTCAGATTTTAAATAACGTCCAAAGGGGCGGCTTTTTTTTTTAACGTTTTGTGTTTTACCTTTATTTATTAAATATCATGTTCTTTGCACTTAAACCATAAAATTCAGTTCAATACCAATGTCGCAAAATAATTTTAAAATAAGCATATCTTTAGAATTTCCGATACATAGTTCCGCGCGCTGGAGATAAAAAGGGTCCCCCCCCCCCGTAGAGTGTTGCCATTGCTCGCTTTGAAATGCTTGAGTTTGTTAATTAAAAATTCGTTAAAGTTCTACAAAATATGAAGTCGATAATAAAACAAATTCCAAATATGGGCATGTGGAAGACCAAATTTGCTTTTCTATTTTTCCGCATATCGATATTCGTAGGAGGATTACGTCATTCAAAATTCGATAGCTCAATGTATCGTATGTACCGTTATTTTATCACAATGTGAGAAACATGCATACATTTATGCATATTTTTCATTATTTAATTTCTTGAAATATAATGCAGGACTGTAACATTTGGTGGCAACAGTTTGAAAAGTGAAACGGACATTTATAGTGATTCAACGCAAAATGAAAACAATAGTTTTTCAGGGACAAAGCCCCTTCGGACTAAAAAGGTAAGAGTTAGGCTTCAAGAAGAAAAAATGTTCAAAATACATATCCAAAAAAAAAAAAAAAAAAAAAAAAAAAAAGCGGAAGATTTCAAATGTTGCAAAAGTAAGAACTGTAGTGTTCAAAGAATATCTTCGAAGTCAAAGGACGGTTGCATAATCACTAAAATGTTCAGTGTCTACTGTAAAAAGTGAATAATACTAAATTAAATTTTAAAAAGGCGAAGAAACATAATGTGCATCGTTTTTCTCCGCGATATATCGCCGAAAGCAGAGATCTCTATGAGAATAAATTATTCGGACAAAAATGGGAAAATTATGTCACAGTAGATGATGAATCTTGGGTATATTTAAATGACTGCAATAAAAAGAGATCACCAAAGAGAAGAAAAAAGTCTTAGAATATGGTTCAGAGAATCTAAAGAAAGTTTTTCACAGGGATTTTGTGATTGCTGCTGGTTTTTCTTATAATCAGTGCTTAATTTCTAAAATTAGAAGTGCTGGAGCCCTATGGAAGACTGTCAGGAAAGAGGAACAAACGTAAATAAGTAAATAAATGACTATTAAAATCATTAATAATTTTAAAATTAAATAGTTAATTATTACCAAATTAATAAAGAATTATTTAATTAATATTAATCCATTATTATTTAATACCAATTAACTATTATTTATTAATTATTAATCAAATATTATTTAATTAAATAACAAAAAATAATTATTAATTATTAAAATAAATAATTAAAATGAAATAAAATTTAAAGAGTTAAATTAACATTTAGTAAGCGATTTTTAATAA